TGGTCTATGGAAAATGCTTAACATCCTGCCTAGTATAAAATGTTGATATATAGTTGATATTATTAGTAATCATAGAAATATTGTTCATCAAAGCATTAAAATAGTAGACATATTAGAAACAATTTGAATATTTTCATCCACATGAGCAAATGTTATACTATGTAGTTGTTAAATCATAATGTAACATTTAGTGAAAGGGCAAGATAGAAATCTATATGCTCTGAGATGTCACTTAATTATGCTTAAATTATGTTATGAAATATATTTTGAAAATATCGTCTTTAATTAAGTTGTTTTAAAATATAGAAAAAAACTGGAAAATATAATACCAAAATGTTAAGAATGGATCACTGTTAATAATTCTTAAAACTAGGTGATAGGTATAGGGGGATTTATTGTGTTAATGCTATTCTATTTCTATTTCTATTCTATTTTCATTTTTTATGATACGTTTTTGTAAAGAATAACAAAAATAGTAGATAAAGAAAGTTTAAATTCTTGGAATTAGTGCTTCCTAACTTGTTTAAATGTAAATTAACCCTTGATCAGTTTTGTTTCTCAGTTATAATTTGATGCTTTTGTAAGTTTTTTAAAGCATTTAAGAGAATGATAATATCAGATTTGTGAAAAGTTTGCTGAAAATTATAATGAATACTTACGTGTGTGTGTGTGTGTGTGTGTATGTAAACACCTTTAACAAAAAAGAAAGATGGTTCATTTGGTATTGGAATTACTAGTGATTTTTATTGTCTTTATACTTTTCTACATCTTCCAAAAATTCTACAGTAAGCTGTTTTTGGGATCTTAAGCACAAAAAGAAGCTTTAATCAATTTTTTATGAAATGATGCTGATAACTTTTATGCTTTATAACATTACTCTAGTATTGAGAACACACTTACTAGTTAATTCTGAGATATGCCTTTGAACATACTATTTATTATTCTCTAAAAACAATTTTGATGAAGGATGCATTGTGCCTAAACATCTGTCCAGAAAATAGCTAATTCAAGTATTTCCCGTGTATGAAAAATGAAACAAGGACCATTTCCACTACTCCATTCCCATAAATTTTCTTTCCTTTTTAAATAGTGTAAGATTTTTCAATATAGCCAGTGTTCACATAGGCAACTTTACCTTAGTGGGAAGGTAGGGTGTCATGAGTATTTTGGCACAGTTCTTCCTCTTTCGGCAAAACTAAGACTAAGAGGAAATGAGTAACTGTTTCTTCCTGCCTCTATAACTGAAACAGTATTCAAATTTATAGGTGAATTTTATTTGTAGCAAATAATTTCTTTTATAAACCCTAAGTTTATCTTCTGTGTGGCCTTCTAAAATAAACTTTATTTGATTTTATACACTGTGCTCATGCTTTGGCTTTATGCCCGACCTCCCAGGTTGCAAACATCTACAGTAGGACTCAACATTAAAAGAAATAAAATAAACCAAAAAAACCCCAATAAAATGTTACACACATTAGTAATAAATTACTCAGTAATATTCACATTGGAGCAGTAATAAATTATAATATTAATTGTGGCGGTCCTTAAAAATGGTCCCAATATTCACTAAGACATTTAATCTTTCCCATGTTCCAAATGAAATACGTTATTGTTTTCTACTCTTACAAAAAAGTTAGGTGTTAGGGATATTGTGTGACTGGTTCTATTCAATACAGAAGTTTAAAAATAAAGGCAAAGCACCTGTATGCATAGTATCAACTAGCACCAAATCCTTACCCTACATGAGAAAATTATCTGTTTTGGAAGTCAGTTATATTCTTAAAAAAATACATCAAGCAATCTAAAATAGAATATGCTAAAGGCAAAATGACTAATTCTGACAAATTCTAAAATTCAAAATAAAAGTAATTTAAAAGTCTATGGAGGAGTGCTGGGGGGGAGTGAATTAATTAACCAAGAAAAAAAATGGAAGAAAAGAAAAGCGAGGAGGAAAGATGAGGGTAGGAGGCATTGCACGCAAGAAGCAGACATTCCAAGATTGAAATAGAAATATAAGAGGCATATTGAAGAAATCATGTTGGAATAGGTGGTTTATATAAAGTAGTGCTTTTCAGATTATGATTTGATGATCCCCCACCGGGGCTTGTCAGCAAGAGGGTGAGGAGGCCAGCTACCGAAGTCTTTTAAAGGGAGGCAGTTTTGCCAGTGCATTAGGGAGATTAATCTGACAGTGGGAGCCACAGGCATGTGTTGGGAAACTATTCAGTAAGTCAGATGAGATAACATGAGCCTAAATGTATGTATTATAAGCCACTGGTTTGAAACTGAAAGAGTATGGTGGGTGGGTGGACTCTCACCAGGGAAAACCCAACAGGACTGGGTTACAAAGTGGGTGGGTGTTGTGGAAGGGATGGGAGGAGTCAAAGATCCATCCAGTGCTAGAACTGAAGAATCTCGTTGAATTTAAATTCACTGGTACTGAAGTATAAGGGAATGTGGAAGATATTGCATTGATTGTATCTAAATCCTTAAGGGAAATACAAAGTGGATTGAAATTATTAACTTAAACATGTAAACTGTAACTATTAATATGGCTTATTATGGGATTACACCTGTGTCATCAGTTCACAGTGAGGGTGAACACAGAGCAGACCTGGGTGGGAGTTGTGTTCTTGTTTACACCTTTGTTCTTAAGGTTAATAGCCTTCCTAGAAGTCACTAAGCTGGAAAGCCTCTGTGCCTTGTTAGGGCATGTGGGGGGCTGTGTTAAATTGAAAAGCCCTAGGCTCTCAGGCACAGCCAAAAATGACATATCTAGCATCTGGGATTGGCATGTGATGAAGTAGCATTCACAGGGTAGTATTATTAGGCAATGCAGAGATTGTTAATGATATGGCTTCCAGTTGATAACAATAAAATCTCCAGCAGGAGAAGACTTGGTATTCATCTGACCTGGTGACATTAGCCCCAAAGCCAGCGTTTAGCTTTGTGAGGGACAGGAAAGTCACCAGGGATTTACTGCCCTTCTACCCCCTCAAAAAAACAACTATGAATGAACTAAAAATATAGACATGTACCGTATTTGCCGGCGTATAAGACGATTTTTTGGCCCTGAAAAATATGCCTCCAAGTGGGGGGTCGTCTTATACGCCAGGTACACTTCAGATAGACTGCCCATAGTGCTTGCCCCGTGCCATAGTGGCCTCCCGATGCCCGCCCACTTCATTCCACATACCGTTCAGGCATCAGCAGCGCTGCTGGGTGTATGCTCGGCTGTTATGCGATTTTGCTGTTATGCGATTTTACCACACTTGCAAAATCGCACACAGCCGACCATACACCCAGTATGATAGCGCAAAATCGCGAATCGCGATTTATGTATATGTTTGATTACATACAGCCTTGTGACAGTTTTCCTGCATGTCATAAGCATTTGAATATAAATATAAATGTTGAAATCAAATCTGATATTGTTTTACCTTTTATTTGGTGTGTGGAAGGTGTGCGGAAGAGGGGGTAGTCTTATACGGCGAGTATATAACAAACTCTGTATTTTGAGTGGAAATGTTAGGGGGTCGTCTTATACGCCCAGTCGTCTTATACGCCAGCAAATACGGTAGATATTTACTTGCCGTCAGTATTAGAAAGGCTTAATATATATGGAAACGTTTAATATAAAATTCATAAATATACAATATGTATATGAATTGTCATCCCCATAATTCTTATGTTGAAATTCTAACCCCCAATACCTCTGAATGTGACTATATTTGGAAACAAGGTATTTAAAGAAGCAATTAAGTTAAAATGAGGTCCTTATCTTGGGCCTTAATCCAATATGACTAGTGTTTTTACAAGACGCAGAGATTAGAACACGCACAGAGACCAAAGAATGACCGAGTGAGAACAGAGTGAAAAAGTGGCTATCTGCAATCCAAGGAGAGGGACCTCGGAAGAAAAGACCTGCCAATACCTTGATCTTGGACTTTTAGCCTCCAGAACTCTGAGAAAATATCTGTTGTTTAAGCCACCCAGTCCAGTCTGTGCTATTTTGTTACGGCAGCCCTAGCAAATATAATACAATCTGTATTTCAGCAAACTTCATGAACAAAATCAAAAGATAATAGTAACCTAGAAAAATATTGGTTAATATATCAAATAGACAAATAAGGGCCTAGAATCAACAGTAATGCTCCAGTAACAGTGAGCATACCAAACGCCCAGGGACATCATAACCAGGAAGTGAATATCAATATACACAGAAATGTTTTTCGCAGTATTATGTGCAATAGCAAAAACCTAGAAAACCAAACACCTATAAATACGTTATTATTTAAATAAACACTAGGAAGCTCAATGTGGAATGTAATGATGATACTGAGAATAATACTGTAGAATATTTGAGGACAAAAAATTTTGTCATGTATTATGTGAAAATGCCATTTGTAAGCCATTTATATCCAGTGTCATGCCATTTCAGAGTCTGTCCTTTCATTATATGAATACTTGGATCTGGGATTTGGTGAGATAGTCATAACATGGCATTTTAAAAAGTCCTACTTGTGATTTAGTCATTTTATAAATCCTTAAAGAGTTACTTTAATACATATTGTAATAAGTACATCAAATATTGTTTCACAGCTCTGAAGTGTCTGGTTGTCTCTGACTGGTAGGATTGGGACAATTTTATTTTTCCGCGATTTTCTACATTTTCCAATTCTTCTTCAAGGAACCACAGAATATTTTTTGCAATGAGAAAAATTGTTTTAAATGGCAATTTTTAAAAATAAAATTTTTAAATAAATTTTTTTGTCCATGAAACTGTATCTGGAATATTGAAATTGTCTTTTGTTTTTTAAAAAAAGTGTTTTTTCACTTTGCTGTTTTGAGTGGATTTAGTTGATACACAAATTTGCATTCATACAAATTTACACTGTCATGTGTTTTCCATGTACTTTCTACTTTTCTGGTTAGGTGATATTTTCATGAGTAGTTTAAAAGCATTGTTTGATTAGTCTTCTCATACTTTTTACTTTTAGATTGGTGTTTGGAATGCTGTATCCTGCATATTATTCATACAAAGCTGTGAAAACAAAAAATGTGAAGGAATATGTAAGTACAGTTTTATGAGTAATTAATTCTAATATAATACCATCATATACAAGACTAGAAAAATTGTCATTATTTAGAAACAGCTGGATAATGTTTGGGGTTAAAAATGTGATACAACTATCAAGTTCTGAAATTAGTCTTTTTTTAAACTAATTTTGAGTATAATTTCCAAAGTGGAGTGTCAAAAATATTTCACTGTCAGTTCACATTTAAATAAGTATTCTCAAATGGGTAATTGGATATCTCTTATTCATTTGGTCTGTAAGTTCCAGTACAATAAGAGGTTGGGGAATTGTCTGTTTTTTAGCCTTATAAATTGTAGGCACACTGAGACTATATCTCTCTGTCCCCAAAACCTCTTCCTTCTTTCATAGGTATTTTGTCATGTTTAATTAATTCAAATATGCAGATACCTCTTCACTACTGACAATTGCAATCTTTATTCCTTTTGAATCAGATTCTATTTGTAATGATTTCTTCTTCAGACCTCAGTGTTTCTTCTCTTTCAGTTTCCACATCCCTATTCCTTAAATTTTTTTTTCTTACTTTCACTAATTGTTTTTATTTTTTACACATTTCTGTAATTTCTCATTCCCAATTTTATCCATACTGTTTAATAGTAGATGGTGTTCCCCACCGACGTTTACTATTTGTGATCAAGTAAATTTCTAGACACCAGTAGAAGCATAGTTTATTAGTGGTTAATCAACGTGGGTAGAAATTACTGAGATAACTGTACATGAGTAACTATGGTTCTCTTTTAATTGAGGTGACATTCACATAGCATTAACTATTTCATAGTGAGCAATTCAGCAGCGTTTAGTACATTCACAATATTGTGCAAATACTACTTCTAATTCCAAGATATTTTTATCACTCCAACATAAAACATCATGCCTATTAAGTATTTACTCCCTCCACTTAGCTCCTGACAACCACCAACTGCTTTGTGTTTGTATGCATTTACCTGTTGTGGATATTTCATGTTAATGGAATCAGAGAAGAGGTGACCTTTTGTGTCTGGCTTCCTTCACTTAGCCTGTTTTCAAGATTCATCCACATCATAGCATGTAACAGTATTTTACTCCTCTTTATAGCTGAATAATATTCTACCACATGCATATACAACATTGCTTCTCCATTCATCCATTGACAGACATCTGGATTGTTTAGCTACCTTTTGGCTGTTATGAATAGTGTTGCTATAAACATTCATGTACAAGGATTTGAGTACCTGTTTTCAGTTTTTTAGCGTATATAGCCACTGTTGTTTTTAGGGATCTCAGATGGTAGCCTGAGCAAATGATCAAAGATTAGGTGATGATTCTTTATTTCTTTAGGGTGTTTTGGCAGGGGGAGGAGGCTATGAACTTTTTATAACTAACCCGTTCTATTGAACTTCTGCTGTCGTTTTTTATTTTATATAAAACTAATTTTGAATTGAAGTATATACACATCAATCAGAATGGTAGAATATATCTAACAGAGGTGGAGAAGTTACTTAGCTGAGCTCTGAAATTTTTGTATCCTTTTATTATATATCTGTCTCTTTAGATCTAGGATTCGTAAAATCATCCTGAGAGAGAACCACATTAAGTCCTAGTAATTTAAAGTAATTTTACAAATGGCTTGAATTGACATATTTTAATGTATATTATAATCAATTCTTCAAGTATTGTTTTATAGTACTGGCATACACACATTTTTAGAAACAAGCACTTATCCTCTATTGTTATCGTCTATTAATAGTGCTTCTCAAGCTAGCTATAGTACAGAACCAGTTTTTTGTTTTTTAATTTCCAATAAGTCATAGACCAATACTTTTGTAAGATAAAATAAAAAACTAATCTCTTGAAAAATGACATGAAAACCCAATATGAAATACAACCCCAACTTTTTTATTACTAGATTCAGTAGACATGAAATTACTATCAGTTTTTATACTTAAAGCAAAATAGTAACACTTCACAGCCTTGCACTAGTCCATAGATGACACTTTGCCCTACTATGTAATATTTTAATTTAATTGGAATTCCTATTGAAAGATAAAAATATGAGTTGCTCTTCATTTCCAAACACCATAAAAATATGGGAGCATAATACTCGCCAGTACTTAATAGATGTACTGGCCAAAACATTCATTCTTATTTGGAATGTTTGTGATACTGTTAAGAAATGAGATCTTTTTCTGAATCTAATTAACTGTATACTTGAAGTACTGGGTGATATGTTTCTCAACTTTGGGCCCATTTCACTTACAAAGTTTTATAAACCCAGGATATGAAATAACTGGTGTGGTTCTGTGTGTGTCTTTGTGTATATATTTGAGCTTATGGTATTCTGTCTTCCCTCACAAATCTGCAGGATTTTGTTGGGGAAAAAAGGTAAGTACAAAATGAAAATGAAATTTAGATGAGAACTTGAATAATATGAGGATATTATCAGCAGGCACACAAATACCATCCCCTAAAATAAAAGAAGATAGCAATAATAAATATAAAGGTATAATAAATTGTGATACAAAGAAATAAGCCTGTCATGTGTAAATTAATGCAAAAGAACAGAAAAGATGGTGTTATTTAGGGATTAGCCTAAGAACCACTATAAAAATATTTGTTCATTTATTACTGTGCATCAATTTAACTTTGTTCATTTTTGAGACTTAGAAACACGGATTTGTGTGTTTTATTCCCTTAGTACAACACTCAAAATTTTATTACTGGATTATTCTATAAATTTGGGATTAATAAAATGTCCTAACCCTGAAATTTTAATTCCGCTTCATAAATTAAAGATAATTTAACCTATGGAAGAGAATGCTTTAACATTCTTACTCAAACTGATGGAAAAAGTATAAAACTTGTTATGTGTGGATGTATGTACATGTGTATATACTAGATATATACTTCACATATTGCCTTGCATAATTGTTTTTAAAGAATAACTCATTATTAACAAAGTAGGAATTATCTGTACATAATTGTGCTATAGTTTTGTGACTCTGAAAAAAGTTTGTTTTTTTTTTTTAAAGAATGCCTGTTTACACCTCATTAAATTAGAAAGAATTTATTTATTTTTTTTTTTAAGATTTTATTGGGGAATTCGGGGAGGAGAACAGCGCTGGGGAATCGGGGGAAGGGGAACAGACAAGTTGCTGTCCTTTTGTTCTTCAGACTAGTTGTGGAGGACGTTGCTTCACTGGCCCAAGTTGGCACCATCATTGCACTCTTCCCGGGCAAGGCAGATCAGTTGCCGGCTTCTGGACGGCCGCTCACGGCAGCTGCTGGCCGCTCACGCTGTTTGCTGGCTACACACGGTAGCCCATGGCAACCCACTGCAGCAGGGGCTGCAGCCTACACCATCGCCGGTGACTCATGGCAGTCCAGCTCCAGGTCGAGCTGTTGTTCACCATCTTAGCTGAAGAGGGCAGTGTCACTGGCCCTAATATGTGGGATCCGAACCGGGGCCCTCTGGCATCCCAAGCCAGTTCTTAACCAACGCATCACTCGGCCAGCCCTGAAAAAAGTTTTCTTAACAATCCTTTTGGGAATATCAAAAGAATAAGTAATTGAAGAGAAACTAGGGAAGTAGAAAGGCAGGTGGCTGGAGTTGGTTTGATATTTACATGGTAATCAACTCTGCTTCACAGATGAAAGCTAAAAGCAAAAATGGTCAAGGCACCAAAGCAGGAAAGGCAGGGCATCGGCCTTTACAGGGAAATATGGTACAACTCTGAAGACCTACTGGTAACCAAGTTGCCTACCATCAAGGCTGCTAGAGAGACTAAACTGAGATACATTGGAATAACGACATCTCACAGTTATGTAATTCCCTATCAATTTCAAAATACTTTTGTATATTACTGTTTCCAGTTGCTTCTTCAATAAATTACCAAACGCTTATTTGCTTAAATTAACACAAATTTATTTTCTTACAGCCCTAAAGTTCAGAAATCTGAAATGGATTCAGAGGGCTGCATTTCTTTTGGAGGATCTAGGGGGGGAATCTGTTTACTTACCTCTTCCAGCGTCTGCAGGCTGCTCACTTTTCTTGGCTAATGGCCCTAGTCCTCCATCGTCAAAGCGAGAAATGTTGGGCTGAAACCTCACACTGTAATCTCTTTGGTTCTCTTCTGCCTCCCTCCTGCACTTATAAGGACCCTGGTGATGACATCGGGTCTGCCTGAGTAATTCAGAATCATCTCCCCATCTCAGGGTCAGCTGATTAGCAACCTGATTTCTCCTTTACCATGTAACAACGTATTCACAGGTTCCAGGGATTTGGACATGGACCTCTTTGGGGAAGGGGGACATTCTGCATACCACAATATCTCACAAGTTCTCACTACAACTCTATAAAGTAGGCGGGGAAAATATTCTAATATTATGGCCTCTGAGAAGTGAATTAACTCGCCCAGGGTTACATGGATCATTAAAGCAGAAATGGTGCCAGATTGAATATCTTCAGTTTCTAATATTTTATTCTTTCTCTTCTACCTTTAGAAAAGTAGGTGAAAAGTAGGTAAAGACCCTAGCTTCATGAAAAAGTTGAACTACCTTGCACAACCAGCTAGTGAATGTGCTTCTCGTTAATTCCAAGGTAGACTTTCAGGGGCCACAACTATATGGATATTTTCCAAGGGCAGTGAGGCAGCTTAACCAGTACTAAGGCAGAACCAATAAGCATCTAAATTAACTATAATCAAAATGGTTGAAGATGAAATTGGAAGCTTTTGAAAGTTCTGTACAGTCTTGGCGTTTCTTTAAGTATTTCCAATCTAAATTTACACTTGACAAAAATTTTGAATATTGCTTTCTTACTGAGTTTCACCTAAACTTAGTTATCCAATTTAACCTTCAGTTATAACAGTTTTATCAGAACTCTGTTCTCATAAAGCTTTCCTGTATGGTGACCCCATCCAAACTTTCTTTATCTTGCAGTTTCTTAGTAAAATTAATCTTCTTAAAATTTCCTTGTTGTGTTTTTAATAGTCTCTTATA